GGTGCTAGCTTTTTCTCCCTAATTATTTTTCTTTTAAGTGGAGCTACCTTATCTAGCGAGTTGCAGAACGTTGATTCTAAGCATTCAGTTGCCTGGTCAAGTTCTTTGGGATCAGACGGTGATCCAATCATGGTTGATAAATCTGGGAGATTACTGATAAAACTCTGTGCAGTTGTTGACGTGAACGTACGTTTGACACAGTCATTTCTATATGAGTGGGTCCTTTTACGTTCTGATTAACCCCTACCGAATCTAGAATGGACACAACTGCTGTTCTCAGAGGGTCTTCTGGATGATCAAGATGAATAGTAAAGTCTCCAACAATTAATGCTTTGTCTAAAGAAATAACCAGGTTAGAGATGAAATCCGCAAATTCGCATAGGAATTCCGAATATGGCCCTGGGGGTCTGTAAATAATAATTAGTGGAATCACCTGGGTAGACTTATTTTTAGTGGCTACAAATGTTATGTTAGAATAAAGAACTTCAAATGCATTGAATTTATGACTAGGTTTTTATGTGATGTCTAGATTATCATTATAGATGACTGCGACGCCTCCTCCTTTGCCAGTTAGACGGGGCTGGTGTATGTAACTGTACCCGGGAGGACTGGCATCATTTAATGCTACAAACTCGTTTGGTTTAATCCATGTTTCTGTTAAACACAGTACTTCAAACTCCTGATCAGTAATGGTTTCATTAACAATAAGTGCTTTAGATCTAAGAGATCTAACATTCAACAGTCCTAGCTTCAGATCAACGGTGCTGGCTATATATTCGGTTTGATTTAATTTTATGTTAATTAGGTTGCTAAAACAAATTGTCTGAGTATGTCTATAATTTTGTTTAGCTCGGCGAACAGACAGTCTCAATATGGTGGAACCTAAGTGACGACTCAGTGCAGCTAGCAGACGGTCGGTTTAGCCTGCTTGTCTGCTCCCTGTCCTTGGCTCTGGATTGTCACTGATTAACTAGGCCTGTTCTGAGACTATGTGCTATGCTGCAAGAAATGAGAGCAACACCTTCCCGAGTGGGATGGACACCGTCCCGCCCTAACAGGCCAGCCTTGCCCTCAAAGTTAGTCCAATTATCTATAAAGCCCATATTGTTTTCGGAGCACCACCTGGACATCCAGCAGTTCAGCGACCATAACCTGCTGTAAGCTACATCGCCACGCCGCATTGGGATGGGGCTAGGGCATATTACAGCATCGCACATTGCCTTCGCTAATTTACACACCTCTACCATGTTACTCTTAGTAACCTCAGACTGACGAAGGCGTATATCATTAGCTCCTACATGAATAACTATCTTTGAAAACCTGTGCTTGCCTAAGACCCTAAGATTACCTGCTATGTCCGGCGCCCTGGCTCCCGGTATACACCTAACTAAAGCTGCTCGTGCCCCTAAAGGCCTAGCTAATTTCACGTGCCGCAAGATAGAGTCACCTATAACCAGAGCTCTTTCAGGTTTCTCAGCGGGTGCTTCACTGAGGAGAGCAAACCTGTTGGACACGTGAAGCGGAGAGGAGTGGTGCTCCCGTGGGCGAACCTTAGCGTTAGCTTTGGCTTTGCGATTATGCCGCCGAGTCGTCACCCATTCGCCCCGCTGTGAGGGCTCTAGTGCCGGAGTTGGGGGATTACTAACTCCGCCTAAGGCATCCAGACTTTCCGCTACAGAAACTACGCTGCTCTCACTCTCACTAACCCTCTCTAGAATCTGGATGCGCACCTCTAATGCTGCAATCTTCTCCGTCAGAGAGCTAACTAACATGCATTTATCACAAATAAAGCTATTACTAACGACGGAGGAAGAGTGACTAAACATCCTGCACTCAACACACTGAACAAGCTGAATGTTAGACAGTTGTTTAACGCACCTTAGTCGGAGATTTGATGATATAACTGCAGACGGCGTGGATCCGGTGTGGATGGCCTCCGCTCGCTATCTTTAACAAAATACAAAAGCGCACTTCGAGGGGAAAAAAAAGAAAAACGGTAGAAGAGAACGTGAAAAATACAACAGATGAAAACGATAGCGCAAAACTATTGATTTAAAAAAGAGATAAACAGTATAGTTAAGACGCCGACGCAGGCAAGAAACTCCCGGCAAAACGATTCGAAAACAGGAAGTGACGTCAGACCGTGTGACAGAAACCATTACATTTACCTGCACTGGTATCAAGGACTGGTCAATACTCAGTCAGTAATCTTTTCAACATTTTCAAAAGAGTGACCAAGTAAAATTTATATTTCATTCAGTACATTAAGACTTTCAAAGAAAAATGAAACCCCTGGTCCTCTCCTCAAAATACATCTGTTGCATTTGCAAATAGCATACAGGTTTTGTGGCCAATTTTTCCACAAAGGGCTGTATTCCATATTGGCGTCCAAAAGTCAACATTTACACAGGGAAAGTTCCTTGTATTTAGAGTTGGTTTACACAGGTACTTAAGTTGACTGTCTGGGCATCTCGTTTCAGATTATTAAAATTACCTGCACAAAGTATGTCAGATTTTCTTGAGCAGAAATATCCAAGACAGAGTTTTTCCAATAGCATCTAGACCACCTCTTTTAAACACAAGCACTTGCTTTTAAGCCTGAAAAAAACTGGGATAGAAAATGTGAACTGATATTTTCTTTGCTGTATTGCAACATAACATAAAAGCTAGACACACTTTACAATAGAAAAGACTAATACAAATATATATTAATAAGAACATTGTAAGCATTGAAAGAAACATCTAATAGGAATTTGGTATATTTTCAATATACTGCATAAATACCCCTAGTTGTAATTCTCACATTAATCACTGAATATTTAGTTTAATTTAACAGTATGGCCCTCATTTTGTTTGCGGGATGTAGGCTATTTTATCATGCTTTTAATTTGCTATTTTGGATTATCGGATAAATATTGCCAATTTTTTTTTTTTTTTTTTTTTTTTTTTTAATTTGATTCACTCTTCTATAAAGAAAATGTGCTCCATGTGAAAAAAACCCCCAAAACTTTTCATGGACTTAAAAAGACAATGTCATTGTTCTTCTTCTTTTGGCTGTTCCTGTTAGGGGTCACAGTGGCCACAATGGATCATTGATCCGCATATTTGATTTGGCACGTTTTTTCCGCTGCATGCCCTTCCTGACGCAACCCTCCCCAATTTTATCTGGGCTTGGGACTGGCACTGGGAGCGCACTGTCGTGTGTAACCCCAGTGGCTAGGGTTGGTTCCCTGGCCGGGAATCGAACACAGGCCACAGCAGTGAGAGCACCAAGGACTAACCACTAGTCCTCTAGGGATCCATGACTTGAAAGTGACAATACTATTAATTAATTAATTGTAATACATTTATGTATTTAATATTGGCCTCATATGTCATTCCATAGTTTTTGAGTGTATTTATAGGACAAATTGTACAATTCAATTCGTGACATATTGTGGTTACATCTATATAGTGGCACCATGCATGCGTGACTGTCTGAGTAGTGCTCAAGTCCATAGTTACGTGAGGTGTGAATACTGATGTGTGAAATTTTGGTGTTAAATCTTCTCTAAATGTGGCCCTAAGAGATTTAACCAAGCTAGGCAAAGTCTCTCAAATTCACCCAAATCGTCTTTGATCAGACACTTATATAAAGTGTATACAAATTGTTAGGATAGTGCAAATCTGTCAAAACATTTTATTAACAATAATAAATTAACAGACATACATTTTGTTCTGTCTTTGTCTCTCATTTTGATATTTTTTTCACAACTTATCTAGCACTATCTGATAAATTACAGAGTGTGCTTCACAACTACTTTTAGACATTTTTGACATTTTATGTTCCTCAGCATGTGATATCCAGTGCTATTCATAAATAATTGTACAGCATTGTTTTGTTAATTACATATCTTACAGTAATTGCAACATAATTTTGTTGGACATGTTTGGCATGTTGGTTTTGGTAAATTGTACAAAGCAATCAGTTTGAGGAATAATAAGGAGGGTAGAGCCTAACTGGAAAGAAAAGTACTAAAATACTCTGACATTTTCAGGCAAGAATATAACATCTAATTATACCTTAATTCTAACTTAGGTTTTAATGATTTCCACAATAATATGTGATGTGTTTGAATTCCCTTTCGTGTTATTAAAACGTCTTAAGAAAAGTCAAGCTCATATACTCTCCTGAAGCTAATTGCCACATCATTTGTTTGTTACTAGACCTGCATAAAAACATATCAACCTACAATACAGTAATGCTGCTTTTTCAGGTGTAAAAAGCCAGAGATGCAGCCTGGAAACCAAACTAGAAACCATACAGTTCTGATGAACAGTTATGATGTTAAAAAGCACACAAATGCAATAATTCTGCACTTTCACCATGTGAAATGGGGCCACATGTGGAGATTTATAATGTTACAAGCAATTGGAAACAAAGTTGTCTGATTTAAACCTCCCTCACAGCGAAGCTCTGATTCAGAGAACAGTGGTTTTAAATACATCTCGTTTGTGTTTCCTCTCAAGCATCACGCTGTGTGTCGTAGATGGAGAATGAGCTTGATTAGGTGAGAAACCATAGTTTAGACATGCCTGCACTTTGAGTCAGTCCTCCTGCTGCTGCTGCTGCTAAATTATCAGGAAACAGCAGCCTCAAGCAATCGCACCAAGTTTTTTTCCTCTATGACTAATGAATCAAATTAAGGTGAGTATGCCTTTGAGATAGCAAGATTTTGTGTTCAGTTTCCAATACTGAGAGTTTGCACCTGAGCAAAGCCCTTAACCCTCAACTGCTCGACTGTATTTCTGTAACAACTGTAAGTCCCAAAATATAGCACTCTGTCTCCCTGAGTGGAAATACATGCAGTTAGCACGTACTGTGGCACCAGACTAGACCCTGAACTGCAAGTTGTTATTTTGACTTCTATCACCCACTTTATTAACTTACGAGTTCTTAACACTTTGCTTAAAGATCTTATCGCGTTAGTTCCATTTAACATCTGACTATTTTTGTCAGAATATCTTAAAATCATAAAAACAGCTTTTTGACTAAATTTAAGTTCAACAGTTGAAACAGTTGCGCCACCTACTGTCTGTTAAATTATTAAAGTGTACCTATTAGCATCATCAGACCATTAATTAAACCTAAAGTGTTTCTTACACCGAAACTGGCAAATACAGGAAATTAGATTAAATTAGTCATAAATGTTCATAAAAAGAAATAATATGCAAAATGTTATTTAGTACGGCTATAATCAAAATGAAATTCATACAATATAAAAGTTGTGCATCGTGTAAGCTGGTGCGTGGCTAAGGCAGGCAGTGTGCATGACTTAAAGAGCACAAACTGGTATGAACTCCAGCAGAATTTTATGAATAGCCTACATGTTTGAGTAGAGCTTTGCATCAATAACCTGGTCATTATTTGCCATTTAGCATTTTCTGTTGCTAAAGGAAGGAATTTGTTTAAGCATATGTCAGGGATATCAATGCATACATAAGCTTTTTAATATATTTTGTGTTATTGATTAATTAAATAGGTCAAATTCAAATGGTCAAAATGACCACTACGAACATTATGGAATTCTGTCACTTTAACTGTTAGGAGACACCGTGTTGACTTTACCTGAACATGTTTAAGTGAATTATTAATCATTAGTCAAATATGTGTCTATGCAAATTGTGAAATATTTGAATTCCACTAAATCAACATCACAGTATTTACCATTTGGAAAAAGGCATTATTATTAATATGAGATAATATTCAATAAATGTGTCTTACTGATGGATTGTGTGGTATTAAATATTAAGCCAAAATAATGAGATAATATGTCAAATTAACTAGATTAAAAATATCTTGAAAAAGTCATGTCTAAATTATGAGATCATAACTTGATATCTTGACATATCTTGAAATAACGAGATGTGAAGTCAAACTAACCAGACATAATATGTTGAAATAACAATATATTAAGTCAAAATATTGATTTTATTATGTGGGAATAACAACACAGAACTTCAACAGTATTTTTTCACAACTTGCAGTCCAGGGCTCCCATAGACTGCCACAAACAAGGGAGAAATAAACAATATGAATAAATGAAAAACTGTTGGTAAAGATATCCTACTGTGAGGATTGTTTTGTACTGAACAATAAGCATCTAAAAATCACTAGCCAGAATGAGACCCTCGTCCCAGTTGCTTCAATTACTGCAGCTGTTTATACTGCCTGTGGGAGCAAAGGGCTCAGCTGTGTGTCTGAAAAGACCACTCACTGCTGCATGATGTGGAACAATATTTTTTGAAATCTTATTTCTTTTCCTTTTGGACGTAATTACAAAATCATTTCAAACATTTAATGGGGATTTCAGGTCATAAAAAAGGGAAATGTTATTCCTCTGATATTAAACTGGTGCTGTTAAGGAAAGCAATATAATTTCACACATGTGTCAGAGTGTAAATTAAATCCTGATTATACCACAGCACTGCTGAATTCTTGATTTTGATTGGTCAGGTATGGATTAATTTTCTAAAATATCAGCTGATACAGTAGTCCAGCTGCAGGCAAATCAGAGGCTTAGCTCCTTCTAATATGTTAGTGTTTCTACGGTAACAAGGTAGAGAGGAACCAGTATGGTGGACACGTCACAAATGACTGTCTAAGGCTGTTACAATGTAATTGAATACAAGGACTTGATCTCTAACATCAAATTAACTATAAACAGAAATAAAGTATGACATTAAGTTCTTTAATTAAAAAAAGTATTAGTGCTGGCAGTTGTCAGTGGAATAAGAGGGAAAGAAACACTTTGTGCTGTGCTGTTATAACAGCCTGAAGCGGTATCATGCCACAGCATCGTATTTAATTCTTTTTCAAATAAAGCATGTCACAAAGTGTTTTCTTTACATAACACACTAAGTTTTGGTACTTCTTTTTGTCTCTAATAAACTGTACAAGTAACTGTAATGTAACTGGATTTATACAGTTAAAGATGGATTACAAACATGCATCTGATGTAAATATACATGTGTATCAACTTTAGTTTGGGCTTAGATAAGTACACAAGTGTATCTTTATAAGTCTAACATTTAAATAATTTCTGTAACATTCTCACCCAACAAAATCAGATGGATTAACACCAATCTGGCCACCTATTTGAAAGTACACCTTCTATATAAAATTATACTCTACAATAAGCTTCTTCTGTGTAGTTAGGATGTACATATAGTGACGGTCAGAAAGAAAGTCTTACTGGAAAACCAGCAGCTCATGCAAAAGGAATTATCCTCACCCTGTTACACCTAAATAACCTGTTACATTATAGTTGTCTATAAAGTTTATTTCTAACTGCAGAATTATTAGATGCTTACTATAAACTGGGACACATTTTTGTGTTTGAGTACTAATTTACAAAATTACTCAAAATGCCCATCAATACTAAAAACCTTCATATTTTGAGTATGTATTTTGAGTATTGGGCTCTTTGGGCTGCTTTTTAAACAGGCATGGCAACTTTGTCAAACTGAAAAATTGAAAGTACTGAAAGAGGCACAAATGAGGCAGAGAGTGATTCTTTTCATGATTGAGACTGTTATAGTGTTGATTTATTTAAGCTGATACCAGACAGAGAAGGAGGTGGCATATTTGAGTCTGAGTTATGATTTTGCTGCAGCTTCCAGACCTATTAAAAATCATTGGTACTCCAACTCTAGAGAGTCTGAAGTAAAAGAGATAGACTGAAAAAGAGAAAGAAAATTGCACTGCAGGCTTAAAAGCCTTGGACTGGTTTCTGAGTTTCAGACTGCAGTGAGTACCAAGAACCAGTGGGGCCCTTGTCAAATCTCTTTGGGGGGAAAAAAAGGCTCTCACTCTCTAATTGGCTCTGTTTCTGTCAGAGGCCCAGAGGAACATGATTAAAAGCTACTGGTTGACGAAGAAGTGTGAAGAGTAATAGAGGAATACATTAGGACAGAGCCTTCAGCTTGACAGTGGGTGAAGGGAGCTATTTCCATTGAGGACAGTGGGTGAAGGGAGCTACCTCCATTCAGTACAGTGGGTGGAGGGAGCTATCTCCATTCAGGACAGTGGGTGAAGGGAGCTACCTCCATTCAGGACAGTGGGTGAAGGGAGCTACCTCCATTCAGGACAGTGGGTGGAGGGAGCCATCTCCATTCAGTACAGTGGGTGGAGGGAGCTATCTCCATTCAGGACAGTGGGTGAAGGGAGCTACCTCCATTCAGGACAGTGGGTGGAGGGAGCCATCTCCCTTCTGGATAGTGGGTAGAGGGAGCTGAAACAAGCTGATAGAGCCCCCT